CGAAGGGTTATCTTTTTTAAAAACAGCAAAGCCCGGAGACTAACGTTAAAAACGAGCGTGTTGGTAAATATAAGGACAGAACGAGCGGGTTGGTGGGGATAATTAAATTTGAGGAAGAAAACGTTTCTCGTTTTCTTCCTCGTTTTCCCCTCTCTTTTTTTTTTCTCAAGTTTAATTGGCAAATATACTTGTGTTTATTCTGCCCGGAGACTAGTTGGGTCGAAGTCGGCCTCCTTGTCAACTATAACCGTTTGTGAAGAGTGGTCTTCTCCCGAGATGAAAAGTTAGCGCCGGCTGACGAGTTCTTTTGAAAAAGGGAAGGGGAAAGAGAAAGTTTGAGTAACTGCATAACTACCTCGAAAGCTCCTCTCCCGAGATGAAGGTCTAGGCATGTTACGTGTCGGTTTCCTTCTCACGTATTGATGCTCGAATCTATTTTTCACCTTGCTCCGCGCAGCCACTGTTCCGCACGGCCGTCGGGGCTGTGCAGAACAAAGTGAAGAATAGATTCGAGCATCATCTGGACGCCGTCATCGTGCCAGGCTTCAGTGTCGTGGGACTGGACTCGGCGTCGGTCAGTTAGGACTTTTTTTAATTTCGTGTGTGAGAAACAAAGTTCTCCCCGCTGAACTTTGTTTCTCAGGTGCGGTTCTGTTGGACGTTTTTTTTTATGTTTTTTAATAACTGTTTGTTAGCATTGTTTAGTTAGGTTTATTTCGTCATGGCGTGGCGGACTGACGGTGCTGTAGAGAGCGTGTTTGCACGCATTTGGTTGTGTCCCGTTTAGGGAATGCCCGGAGGAGTTGCTTTTGTTCTTGCCGTGTGCGGCTGAGTTTTTCCGTCTTGATTAATTTTTTTTTTTTTTTTACCTTTACGTGTCGTCGACTTCTTTGTCTGACTCTCCACCAGGAGTGGACCTATCGACTTGCCACCGCTCAAACCTAAATTTTTTATTTTTTAATGAAATTTTTGTTAAGATCGGAGTTGGGCAATTTTATTCTTATTTATTTATTTTTATTCTCTATCCCTCTTCGTTACGATCTCTCCGTGTGTTTCGGACCGTTTCTGTGTCATCACTTTTGTGTATTACGGAAGTGAAAGGCCATTCCCTGTTGATCTGTGCGATGTGCGGTGAACAAACCCTAGCGTTTGGTTTCGGAAAGAATTGTATATAATATATTAATGATGTGGGTGACTTTCTATGTTTTAGTAATATGAGAGCTAAGAGCTAGTCGTGGTAGTTTACAGTGAAAGTTTTATAAATCGAAACAATACAACGTCTGCGCCTCTTCGATATTGAAGATCTACTAGGCCTGCTGATTTGATTAGATATGTTTCTCGTGGTTTCCCGCTCTTATCAAAACATAAATAACTATTCAGCACCACAACATGCGGTTATAATTGATTACAAAACGCAGCGAAAAATCCAAGAAAACTTTTTCACAATTCATAGAAACGCACGGGTCTCTGTCTGACTTACGTCTCGCAAAACAAAACGCCTTTTTCCGAAATTGAGGCTTGAATATAGAATATAAAAACAAAATGAACGCTCTATCCACTTGCTTTTCGAGTAGACACTATCATATCTACATTTTGGATTTCAAATTTGGTACTTTTTGGTTTTCGCTTAATATTAACGTAAAACATTACGCAAAAAAAAAAATTTCATACAGCTGAGTAATTTTATAAGACATATAAATAGCGTGCTTTTGAGCTCCCCATATACATAAAAAAATATCGCGTAACCCAAGTAAATCGCCAGTATTTAATTGTCGAAGTTCATCAACAATTAACCGAGGGGGCGTTTTTGACGTTTTTACAGAAAAAAAGCAAAACGCCTAAAATTATTTCATGGTATTGGAGCTTTTCACCTGTGCTGAGAGAGTGCTTGAGAAAAGTTATTATAACGTGGACTGAAAATCCACGGCGGGAGATCGAGCGAAACATCCGACCCACGACGAATGTGAAAAACACTGCTTTCCGCCGCGGCCTCTTTTAAAATTCGTAAGTCGAGAACAAAATATCCGACGAACTTGCGGTTTATGGCTACTGCGTTTTTAGAGACGACACCATAACATATATTTTTTGCAGCGAAATTGAAAATTTTACCTTTTATGCCTGCCTGCATGATTTGAGATGAAAACACCCATATATAGATATATATAAGCGTACAAATATCTTGGAACTCTAGGTTCAACAGTTGACAAGAAAATCTAATAGGTGAGAAACTGGGGGAGAAAAGAAGATAAGAAAGTGAGGTGACGTCACGGTACGTCCTCGTCTTCTCTTCCTCAGTTTCTCACGGTATAGCGATATAGTTTCAGGCAGTTGGAAAATTTAAAGAAGCAATAAAACTACAAAAGAAAAACAACTAGCGTGATGTTTTGTGCGCAATTTTAGACGAAAAGGCAATTCCGCGGCGATGTTTACAGGAAAGATTACCTCAGCTTTCCAAGGCTCGTTTTTCACTGGGTACATTTACGCCACCAGATAAGCTTATACGATTCATCGGCGATGTTTTGGGCGAGATAATGGCTAGGTCTCTAAACTTCCGGTTCTCATATCAGAGCTGGAACAAACAGTACGACACGTGCACTAATGGGGGCGGCGGAGAAAAGCTCACCGGAGAAAAGCTCACCGCAAAACCGGCGGATGCAAAGGAAAGCTCATTGATTTCTTTTTTTTTTTTTTTACTTAGCGGATTCTGCGTCAAACGTGCCAATTTAAAACAATTCGCATTCATCGCTTCATTAAAATATGTCTTCTTTTTTGTAATATTCTTGAAGTCCATTGGGCATATTTGCTAATTCTTCGGGAATTAGTAATCACCCATTTTGTTTATTAATGAAGCCGCAAGTCTAAAATCAGAACTTCGCAACATTTTATTGACAGCTGAAGGCTACGCTGTTTTCTTTCGGTTAATTTCACTAACAAACCTTTAGTTGCGAGAACAGCTCCGTCCTGTCGAGTTTGTTGTCTTCACTCCATCGTCGTCGTTTGAGCGGTTTTCATCTTCTGTAAAATTTACCAACTCGCCCTATTCGCTACCTTACAGAAGACGACTTCTTATATAGGTCACGAGTAACAATGGTGCCAGTCTGCAGCTCTGAAAATCATAGGTGGCTAACCGTAGAAGGGCACTATCACAAAAAGGAAACGTGTCGAAACACCAGCACGAACGGCTAGAAAACGTGCAGGTGCGTGGAAGAAATGAGCCTCGATATATTGCTGACTGTTTTATCCTGTTTTCAAAGGTTAACAAAAGCTTCAAAGAGAATTTCAGGCCCCGCGATGTTGCGCATACACTTTCGGATTTTCGTCATTTGCAGTTTTTTTTTTAGGTTTTAGGCAGACATTATTAAGTTTTCGAACTTGTTCCTGTTCTTCAAGTTTATAAAATTTTCAGCTAGGCTTTCGTTGCTTAGGGAGTAAACCACCGAAAACACTCTCCCGCAATTATTGATTTCGGAGCAATATACCCAATAAGCTTAACAAATATTACAAAAAGAACATTTTATTTTTTACAAAGCTGGCGAATTTTAATGATAATAAATTGATATATGTTACGCATGGTCCAACAGCCTCCATATAAAAAGAGGAAGAAAAATTGGTGAGCTTTTCTCTTCATACGCTCAATGGCCGGTGAGCTTTTCTCCGGTGAGCTTATCTCCGGTGAGATTTTCTCCGGTGAGCTTTTCTCCGGGATCCCACTAATGCAACCCTGTAACTTCAAGCCAAGACGCGCGACCCAACTTGCGTGAAAACTTGCAGAGACAATTAATCCTACTTACAGAAAGCAGAAATTATTCTTAAAAAATAACAGCGGACACCGTAACTTAATTAGCTTTGCCAAGTATGGCATTGTAATTGACAAAATATATTCGTTTAGTTTATGGAGTACGCTTGTGAAAGTATCGAAGGATGATGATCTCTTTCGTATCAATCATGGCACACAAAAATAATATCCTCCAGTGCAAAGGCAACGAACCCGTAGTAGTATTTTTCGTTTTCAAATGATTTAATTAAATTAAATTTTCAGCAGCTCATAATGATCTGTCGAAAATCATAGTTGTACCGGGTGTCCCAAGTATAGCAGCCAGGGTCTTTAAATCGACTGCAAAATTCGGTTTCGTAGCCTACCGCGCTACGATTTTGTGCAGCGTTGCCCACAGGTGGTGCATTTTTCCCATACAATTTGCAAAGAGCGAACTTACTCGAGGAAAAAGTAAAAAAAAGACAAAGGCTTAACTCCTATGGAAACGCAGCGAAGCCGCTGGTTTTCAAACAATAGGGCGCCTTATTGTACAATTGTTTGTCACGCCCTACGCTGACAAATAATTGTATCTTAATACACACATACAGTGCAATTCTATACCTTGGAGTGTGTTGTAGGGTGCTCTGAGCGGTCTTATGCTTACCTATTATTTCTCAAGTGGAAAGGCGTAGCCGGTACCGTCAAAGCGGCAACCAGTGTCTCCTTTTTTTATTTATATTTTTCTCGGTTATTAAAGTAAGTGAACACTGACACAATGGTCGAAACTTGCTACCGTATTTTGCATTTTATACCCTTTGTCGCATCACTTAAATCAACGTTTCAGCTCTTTCTTGTGTGTGTGCGTTTTTACGCGTGCATGAGCAACACATCCAACGCAACTTACAGATCGGTCCTTTGAAGTTTCGGAGCAACCACGGTCATATAGTCTACCGCTCTCGCCGACCAGGAGATCGGCCCGTCTTGGACGACGAGAGTGAATGTAGACTGGATACCAACTTCGCTTCCCGTTGATTCGGCTTCGGAGCGGCACGGCTCAAACGCGAGATAACAGGATTAGCCGTTTAGGCGAAAAAGATACCAGCGACCCGCCCGCCGGCTTGTTTCTTTTCTGGGAAGGTCATCCAACCCGGTCTGGAGTCGGCGTCGTGTTGGCGACAAAACAAAAAAAGAAAAAGAAACACACACGGCTGCGACAAGTTGGACTGCGAAGCGGAACGGAACTCACCATGGCTCCGCGATAGTAGGCCGTGGTCAGGGTGCGGAACCTCTCTTGACCCGCTGTGTCCCTGCGAAGAAGACGAAGAGACAAATAAAAACACAAGTAAACGAATTCGAGCGCGCTCAGTGAGTGCAGCTAACGGGGCGTACACAGATGCGCTGTACCCCGTTTCATCTTACGATGGACCGAGGGGAAGGAAGCCACGAGCCGTCGGAGCCAATCCGACGTTACTGGAGTGTGATCTTAGGGCAGTCGGATGGCGCCAAGTCAGCAAGTGGACCCGAACCCGATGCCGAGCGTCATTCGGCCCGTTGATTGGACACGAAGCCCAGCCGAACGCTTACGCAACACTCGTGTCCAAGCAGGGCGTTCGCTCGCCCTCACTGCGATGATGACGTAAATATTCTAGTGTGCAAGCTATGGTTATTCAAGAGTTGGACGCGCGGTTACGTGATGGGCCGTTGTGTCCCGTGTGGTCTATCAAACGGAACGTGAATACAGTCCGAAGTCACGTCGGATATTGCCACACTGGAATATATATATATATATATATATATATATATATATATATATATATATATATATATATATATATATATATATATACTATTTTTATTAGAAGATTTACGGACTTTGTATACTGCACTATGTTCGAAGGGGACGATGGAAATGGATAGTCGGAGGCGACTGCATCGAATCGATTGTGGATTTCAGAGAAGACGGACGCTTCGCTTGCTCGATCAACTGAGGCGGAGGCCTCGGTGGGTCTACACGTTCCTTCCTCTTGTCTAGTTTTGTTGCTGAAGCTATTTTAGTGTTGGTTTTTTCTTTCGACGAAGCAACGAAGAAAGGTGCGCTGACCGATCAGCCCCCCCGGAAGTAACTTTTCTCGGCAACTTCCGCGAATAGCCATCTGAGGTTGCACTTTCCCGCTTTGTAAGACGCATTTTCATACGTGTTTGAAGGTTAGGTTCGTGGCCTTACGGGCTTCTGATTTCCAGGAAGTTTAGTTTGACCCGGAGGTTTTCGAAACAAATAGGCAAGAAACACGTATTTTATTTGATTGCCTAAGCAAGAGTTATTTCTCCATTTCAAATCCAAGAAGTGTTCATACTATGTCATATGACTTAAATCATACGCAAATACTTACGTTGCGTTTTTTTTTTTTTAAATGTTGTATGCTCATATTTGGGTTGTTACAGAAATAACAGATAGAAAAATAATTTTGCGAAGAACGATGTGACATGACGAGACGCGAATTAATAAACAACGTCCTCCGAAAAATCACAAATGACCGATTCCTATCAAAGACCAAAATATTAGCGCAGCGAATAAGATCTTACAAGGCCTACAGTATATAGACAACATACAGAAAAGACAAAATACCCAGAATACAGAGCTCAAATGAAGAAAAAACAAAACTTCGTGCAAATTACAGGCAATTCACGAAACCAGCATTGCAGTCACAATCTTATTACATTGTCATTTCTCTAATAGGCTGTGACCTATTACAGACAGTCAATTATCTTTTCTGTGAGTGAGATCCCCCACTGCGGGAACACAGCGAAGATACTCTGTTCTGTGGCTCTGCTAACGTCTCGAAGGTTCTCCCGAATTTTGTAGCTGTCAAATCCCACTTCACAATGCCCCCTTTTTTCTTTTTCTTTCGTTTTTTCTTCTACTAACATTGAGCAGTGCTCTCTCAAAGGCTTAGATGTGTTCTTTGCTGTTCGAAAATGTTCTAGACATATGACAATCACTTCGCTGTGTCGTTATTATTAAATGATGTTTGGAATGTCGCTGTACGGGAGATGAGTATAGAGATGCAAACCGTTTGAATTTAGGCATTAGAAGTACCTTTTTTGATAAAAACTAAGGAAACACACTCGTCTCACTATTACTAAAGAAAAAAAAAGATAGAAACTATTGTTTTCTAATATTTCTCGCAATCATAAAACACGTTAATCATAAACATTTTGAAATTTTATTCAGTATCTTGGTAGTCCGAGTGAGCCGTCAATACAGCTTCTTCAAAAGAAACGTTGGATCAAAGAAACGGCTACCGACGCCGTTTTTTTATCACATTTATACTTCCGCTGTAGGTCAATTCGACGTGGAAGCGCCTAAAACGTCAAGGTCCAAGTCAGCACGACAAGATTCTGTCCTTAGTCTTTGCACTACTTCTCGAAATTCTCCTTCAAACAACTGTCCTCGTTTGGACTTTTTTTTTTTTTGTCTTTTTTTCTACAGGAGTTCCACGTTTTGGCGAGTTATCTCGTGAAACTCTAGCTACCACTCAACCACGAAGATTTCTCGGCATCGCTCTATGACTGCTCTCGGTTCGGCCATAAGCTGACAGTTTGGTGGCAGCTACGCACTCGTCAGACCAATCAACTGCTTCCCTTTCATCGCATGACCCCGCTTTCTGCGGCTGGAAATGGGCGTGGGTAGGGACGCACGACTGGTCCAACGAGCCCGTAGGTTCCACCGCACTGTCAGCTTAGGGGTGAACGAAGTAGAAGCTGGCATTGGGCAGAGTGAGAGGGGGCGGGCAAGCAGCCCCGTTCAAGGACGGCGCGAACATCTGTGCTCTGCGGCCCAGAAGGTCACGCGTGCCTGGCGCACGACTATTGGTCATCACTGGCCCTGGGTGAGGCCACCGCGGGTGCCCGACAAAGTTTTAAAAAGAGAAATGAAATGATTATTGGTACGGGGGCTGCGCAGGGCCCATTAGCACTACGGAGACGGCGCCTAAGGCAGTCAGAACAGCTGCTGAAGCGACTTCTTCGCCGTGGCTTTTATAAGGGAGCCAGCTCCTTCCTGAGACAGAATGAGCCAGGTGAACACGCACCCTCTACCGCATCTTACAAACAAGAAATAGAAAAACAAAGAAAAAAACCGGAAAGGAAAGAGGGTATGACAGTGATGGTCGGTCATGGTGAAAAGCAGGTTGTTTTGTTAGCACTTCAAAAACACTTTTGATTATACTTTTTTTTAAGAATCGCTTCTTTTTGGGCTAATGATCGCAGCCAGACGTGGTTGGTGTTGTTTTATTTTCACCTGGTTTTGGGGTAGTTTTAACTATTTTAAAAACAACGAGTTGATGGTAATAACTTCTGGAAAACGCTATACGGATTATGAGTCCTGTAACGATTAAATTGGGTAAAAGCGTCGAAGATGTAGTCAAAAAGTTAATTCTGCACAGCAATGCGTGCTAGCAAAACAAACATGAAAACAGTCTGCGCAGGCGGTAGAATCAACACTCAGCTGTGCTGAGAGGTTTGGATTGTGCGGATATTCTTATACTATATGTATAAGAGACCATCATCACGGGTCAAATTGTGATAATGTTGCCTAGCGCGACGTGTAAAAATGACAACGACGAGGGCCACATCGAAAACAATGATGGTGACGGAAATTACGCGTTGCGTGCGATTGGGTGAAAATGCATAGCCGTACTTCTTCCTTTTGAAACGGCTGCACCGAATTTCCAGTCCAAATTTAAGAGTAAACATTGTGAAATCAGCTATCACACGTTACTAAACGTGCCTACAAAGTAGTCTTCTCCAGAAATGCCTGTGTATGGACTGCCGTAACGACGCAGTCGTATTTTGGAGACAGGGACAGCCTTGCACTCGTTGCTGGAGGAGTACAATTTGGGCAGCAGTCATAACAAGAAAGAAATTAGTAGTTATCTTTGAAGACCAAGAAAGTCTGCATGACTTTAGTGTTGCTCATTTTAACCTGGTGTTGTCTCAGTCCCAAGAGGAAGCCAGATAAAAAAATTAATGAAATAAAATATGAAAGAAAGTGTTAAGCAAATGAAGGGCAACTAATTACGGATAGCGAGAGCACACTGCAGTTTTCCACTATGTTTGCATCTTTCTGTGTTTTTCTACAACCCAGCTTTTAGACCGGTGGTCTGAGGAAGCCAACAGTATTGTCTGGATTAACGTTCCTCTTGCCACATTTCACTCTCTCTGGTGTCCGGCTGAGACAGCCAAAGGAAAGTTTATTTTAATGTTTTTTTGTTTTTGTTTTCAACTATTTCTTGTCTATGATAGGTATCTTTCGTTCATACGTAATCATTCACTAACAAAGTCAACCTACCAAGTCACTTTCTCAGCTTTCTGTTTGTCACAATAAATAATATATTAATAAAAAAACTGATTTCAGCTTCTTGTTTCTTACTCAGCTGCTCGCAAGTGAGTTCTAGATGTACAGCGTTCTAGATGTACGGCGAGTGAGTTCTAGAGCAACGCTCGGACTAACCCATCATTTATTTTCCTTGAGGGCCCCAGGGGGCATTATACAAGGGAGTGAACACACTAAAAACATCAACAAGAATAGTTAATAAAAAAACACGCTGTAATCTATACTTGTATTTCAGAAAGAAAGAGGTTAACGGCTGCAGCAAACTTGTTAGTATCAGTCATGTTTACAATGAGGTCAGGTAATGAGTTCCAATCGTCAATAGCAGATGGTAAAGTCGCCATTTTATAGGAGACAGATGACGAAGTAATTGAGCGCAGTTTACATGAGTGGTCAAAACGAGGGAAAATACGGTAGGGAGGTGATAGTAGAGAATCTTTTAGATGGTTGTTGTGGTAAAAGATTTTGTGAAGAAGAGTGAGACGTGACACCCTTCGACGTAAAGAAAGTAAGTCAAGGTTAGCTGATTTGCGTAATCCTGATATGCTAGTGTATGGGGAGTAGTCAGAGTGAATAAAACGAAGACCTCTGTTTTGAACGGATTCAAGGTTGTTAGTTAGATATGATTGCCATGGTGACCATATGGATGAAGCAAATTCAAGTTTAGATCTGACCAAGGTCGTATAAGCTAGTAGTTTTACTGAAGGTGTAGCTAGTCTGAGGTTACGGCGAAGAAATCCGAGAGTACGGTTAGCATCGGCAGTGACAGCATTTATGTGAGTAGTCCATGACAGATCAGAGGTCAGGTGAACGCCTAGGTATTTATATGAGGAACAGGTAGCTACTGGGATAGTGGAAAGGTGATAAGAAAAGGATGAAACATGTGAACTGCGGGTGAATGATAGAGATTTACAT